CGTTACTATTTTTTCAAAAAAAATACTCGTTTTTGATTTGTGTGCGACAGCGGATCAGAGCTCTTCACGGTAGAAAGTGATTGCTTGAGATCGTCCTCAGAACATTTTGAGTGTTGACAGACGATCTGAGCTACAGTCGATTAGTTGGTCGAATTTTCTCTTTACTGATCCTATTATGAATTCATTGTATCCGCCGCAGGAGATAACCATCGCGTTGAGGAAGGCCTTCCAGGGGCTATGCATTGAAAAATATGCAGGCTCCTCGAGGCCGTTGGGGATGAAAAAGTCCTCTGGCCGGGAGACAGACATGGCGACCAGCGGGGGGATAAAAGTCGAAGCTCTTGTATCTGCTTTCTTATACTCCGACCTTTCTCCTCGGGGGGCTTCTCTTCTCTTTGTATATTGCTTTAAGTGGCCCTCTTTGATGAGGATTTCAATGGTATCTTTCAGGTGGACGCAATCTTCTATTATGTGGCCATGGCTGCGGTGGAAGCGACAATATTTGCTTCGGTCGGTGTTGTTCTTCGAAGCTATTGGCTTGGAGAATAGCATGTTTCCTTGATTGAATTTGGCGTTAATACATTCAGATAGGATACGCTCGTGGGGAGTTGGTAGTAGGGTGCATTCGGTGAATCGACCTACAGGCCCTTTGTGATCACGGGGACGGTCGTCTCGTAGCCTATCTTTGTCCCGCTTGTAAGTTTCTGCTTCGTCTTTCTTCGATCCTCTGGAACTCTCTTGGTCCCTCGAGTCTCTGGCTTTATACGCGGCTTCCTTTTCTTCGTATTGAATATAGGATTGTGCCTTGCGGAGAAGTTCAGCTAGAGAACAAGGGGGGTCGACTCCTACCGCCTTACGAAGGTTACTTTTCGGCCTCAATCCCTTTTCTATCAGATACTGTTTCATGTGGTCGGTTGTGCGGATTTCAACCGCTTCCTTAGTGAATCTGTCGACGTAATCACGAAGAGGTTCATCCCTGCCCTGGATGATACCCTCAAACGTGGCTTCATATTTCGGATGACGCCTGGAGGCAGTAAAGTATCGGGTAAACTGCTCCTTTAGACTCCTCCAGGACGTGATTAAGCCTTAAGGAAGGCTCTTATACCAAGTCATAGCCCCCTTCTTGAGGGTGATGGGGAATAACCTACATTTGATTGCCTCAGCGACATTGTGGTAGTGTAGTATGACTTCAATATTTTCTATGTGGTTGTCAGGATCAGTGGTACCATCATAGAGAGCCAGAGGGGGAGGTTTCTCCAGCCTGCGAGGAATGCGGGTGTCTATGATTTCCCGTGACAGGGGACCGCGGGCGTTGTCTTCGTCGTTCGTGCTTGGCGACCTGCTGAAAGAATAGTTGCATCCCCGGCTCCTGCTGCGTCGAGGAGAACGTTCGTGTCGGCTTCGATGCTCTTCGCGAGGCTTTCCAGAAGGCCTGGTCCTTTTGGGTGATAGGGAGTGTCTAGACCTCCAGGGAGGGGTACGGTCGCGTCTTCTGGTGATCTCGTGTCTATGCTTCTCCAGTGTGGATCGTTCTTTGATTGGGGAAATGATCTGAATTCATCTCGACAACGCTTCTAAAGAGAGGAACGAGACCGGTGAGATGGGATGGGGGATCCCTGCGGGGGAGGTCGCTCTCCGACGTTGTTCTCCAGCATGTGGATTTTTCCCCTTGTTGGAAGACCAGGTAGTTAGATTTGTTGAGAGCGGCGATGAGGGCCGTCGTGCCAGGGTCAGCATCTTGTGGGACAATGATAGGCTCGTATACATAGTCGGAACTTTGGACACGAGGCATCACGTTCTCAAGAGATGTCGGTTTTTCGTCCTTGTGATCAGTTTCTCCGGTGGCAGTTTGGCAATGGGGGTTTCGCCACAACCCAGAATGGCGACGATGGAATCTTGATGGACGTCACTATGGTGAGAGGCCATGGCGATGAAGGTTCAAAGAGGTAGCTTTGGTCTTTTGTTCGGGAAGATTGGGGAATCTTGCTTCAAAAAGACGGGGGAGCTAGTGTTCCCATAGACAGCGCCACTGATCTGGAGTGATCATAATGGATCGTCTTGGCCTTCAATGTAGGGCAGCAACAGTGGTTGTAGGAGAGGAGGGGTGTACCTGTAAGATACTATGATGTCAAAGTAAGTTTGGGCTAAAGAGAAAGTAAGTACGAGTGTTTAGGTATGAGATATAGTGATTAGAATACCCGACCCTCTCAAGAGAGAGGGTATTTATGAGATTCCCCCCAGCGTGGGGTCAAGGTCTCCCATGTGGCTGAAATATCTGACCGACCAATGGAAGACTGCCAGGAGGAAGATCTAGCGCATGATATTTGATCTTGTCCAACTATCTCCATAAATTTTGGAAGGGCAGTTGATCGCGTGAACTGTCAAGCGCGTGAGGGGGATGTCCCAAAGACTATATCATGCCCAACGGTCATATTATACCCAACGACTATATCGTGCCCAACAGTCATATTGTGTCCAACGACTATATTGTGCCTAATCTCCTTATTGAGTCTTACCTTAGGCTAAAATGGATTGGGCATTGCCCAACTATGGGGCATGTGTGAGTCTAGTATAGAACAATAACAAATATTTTTCTTATTAAAATAAATTTTGAACGAGACATTTTAATTAAAAAAATTAATATTTTAAAAAAATTTAAAATAATTTGAATAAAATTTCACATAAAAAGTAAAAAATAACTATTAAGATTACGTAAATTAATTATTTTGTCAAAAGTTAAATTTAATTATTTAAAATAACACATAAAATCAAATAATTTGAAATTCTGTCACACTTCATATAATATAAATGTCAAATTGATCCTCATATTTTTTCAAAATTTTAAAATTGAACTATAAAATTTTCAAAAAGTTTTAAATTAATTTTTAATGATTTTCCAATTTTACAAGTAGCCCATTTAAATTTTTAAAAATTACAAACTTTCCCTATTTTTCAATTTTTAATTTAACCCAATTTTTTAAAAATTTATAAAAATGATTTTAAAATTTTAACAATAAATAATTTTAATATTCTATTTAAATTATTAAAATTAAATTTTATTAAATCATTTTAAATTTTAATTTGTTTTTTTTTTAAATTTAATTAACTCATCTAAATACACACTTACCTTCTAAATTCTAAAGTAATTATCTCAATTATAAAATCATTTTGTTCATATATGTTGACAAAATAACATGTATCCCTCGTTTTCATCACCCGTAACATCATTATTTGAACCATTAAGTCAACAAAAGTGTCTCAATCCCTACCTTACCCGAGGAACTATTAAAAAAATTATTTCATATATTTAAAATAGGATAAAATTTTGGTAATATGATTAAACTTTTATTTGGATTGAAATACTTCACAAAAATATTGAATTCTTTTTATCTAAATACTCCATTTTTTTTTCATTTTTTTTAAATAATCAAAACTTTTTAGAATATTTTCTAAAGTATTCTATTTTGAGAAAAAATTAAGTGTTGTCTCCATACCAATTGACGACAGTGTTGCAGGTTTAAGAGGTGTCAGTGTGTCACCAATTCGTTGGAAACACCACATGGCGTTTTCAATTCAATTGAAGACTATGTGTTAAAGTTGAATGTTATCGCCAATTCATTTGGAGACAAAGTGTAATCATAAAATTTCAGGTAAAAATAATTAACATTAATAATTAATTAAAAAATAATATTGCATAAATTAATGATGACAATCGAGTGGATCATACCCTCCACCGGTTCCGCATCTCATAGGTACCCTCACTTACTGTCCTCGTTGTTAATTCACTCAGGTATATGAGGATTTGAGGTCTCAGGAACATCAGTAGGATCCCTAAGAAGTTCTTGCATTTCTAAGAAGTCTTGTGTATGGAATGATGTCACATTGTCGTAACTGAGTTCGCGACACATACTAGAGTAGTCGGGATGCGATGAGTAGGACATTGGTTTGCGACCTGGACGATTGAAGGGGTACGTTGGTGTGAAAGATTCGTTGGTGAAACGTTGAAATGATAGTGGTGTTTGAAAGACATAAGATTGTTGTGATGTTTGCGTTTGTCGGCTATGGTGTGGTGTTTGTGTGTGTCGGTTATGTTGTGATGTTTAATCATTTTGGCTATGATACAATATATGGGCGTTTTGCCTATAGTACCATGCTTGGACGTTTTGGCCATATCCTGATGTTGTGTTTGGGGCATATGTTTTTTGGGTGTCTTAATAATAGTCATTTTGTTGGAGATGGTATGAGAACACTCTTTGTATTGTGGTTGGGTGTCTGACATGTTTGGATTGTGGGTTTGTGTGTTTGTGGGCCGGTAACTCGAACCCTTGTCATTCTTAACTCGCAGCCACCTACGCAGTTCATCAAGTCTCTCAATACTTTAAATTTTTTCACCTTCAGGTATGTCTTCGTCTAACCAATTATTCAAATCCCTTCGTAGTTGCTTAAAACTTTGGATGTTCTAGAAGAGCATCTCCATCATAAGCTTCTCTCTCGAATAAATCAACTTCCTGTAGCGGCGACGATACATGTTATCACGAATACAAGAATATGAGAAGATATGTGAAAATAATTGATCACACCGCCTCCATTTATAGTAAAATTACACGTTGCATTCTGTCTCTAAATGAATTGGCAACAACATTCAAATTTAACACACTGTCTTCAATTCAATTGGTGACACCTCTTTATCTTACAAAGGAGTTGCCAATTCGTATGGAGACAATACTCTGTGACTCTCTAAAAATGGAGTACTTTAAAAAATAAATTCTAAAAATGGAGTACTTTAAAAAATAAATTGAATTTTAATTTTTTTTTAAAAAAAATGGGATATTTGAATAAAAATTCAAAAATATTAATTAGTCAAGCAAATAAAATAAAAAGAGAAATTAGAAAAGAAAGGAAAAATAGAATTGAAGAGTATTTTTGAACTTTAGTGATTTCTGCGAATCTTCGCTTTTCATACATTGTAAACGACGTCGTTACTAATTGTTCCTCCGGCGATGGTCGACGACAAATCTCCGTCCACGGCAATGGGAAACAGAGACAGAGATCGAGAGCTTCTCATCCCTGTCGCGGATTCCGGCGACGACACCGATGCCTCCAGACCATCTTCCTCCTCTACACATCATACCGGCCGCGAGGTACTTTAGGGTTTTAATTCTTCATCGCTTAATTTGGGAATTTCTTTGACTTTGAATTTTGAGTTTGTGACTGCTTTTACAGATTATTTACCTGTCAATTGAAACTACTGATTTATCATATAATTAACTGGATGAACTTGTAATCACATTTAAACTAATTAAGCTAAGGTGCATAAAAGGTATAGTTTTTTATTTTTACCTCTTTTGAAAATTCATACCAAATTACCAATTTATATTGTCCAAATGTTTTCTCATATCGATTCAATAATCAGAGTATTATACAAAATATTCTGATTATTGTAATTTTGCAGAACTGTAGTGTTTTAGTGGGAGCTGAAGCTTTGAATTCACATGGAATGTAATCTTTTAGTGAAATTGCCTGACTTTGCATATGAAGTATTTGTCTAACATCTGGCTATGTGTTTTTTCCGGGATTTGTAGACTTTTTACAAAGTTGTTAGGAGCTGGGCATCAAAAAAGTTCATGACTGGATGGTGCGTATTGCTTCACTCTTAATTTTTCATTTTCTCATTTCCAGAAGAAAGTTGTGCTTTTGTATGCATTGGATAGTTTAAAAACAACTTGTTGTATTGATGTTTGTGTCTTCAACTGCAAGTTAAAATACATAGTAGTTACACTTATGAAACTTTTTGCTAGTAATGTATTCAGTGGTAACTCCCTATTTAATGGGGAAAGGGAATCCTAATCGAATTTAACCTTTGAATTCTAGATTTTAAATCTCCAAATAGGTTATATAATTGATGCCATGCTGGTCAAACTATCACCTTTAATGTCTATTCTCACCCCACGATGTTAGTATAAAACTATACAAATACTATCTTTGTCATCTCTATAACTGGTTTTAGAATAATGAGGCATTTGTCTGTCTATTTGCATATATCTTAGGCTTTGCAAAATTGTGCACGTGCCTCATAGTTTTAGGTCTTAGAATTTCAGACCAGTTTTCGCTTTAACTTGTAGTTCTCAAGATCCTTTATCTTTGTGATTTTTGTTTCTATTTTTGGTAATTTGAAGCTTTGAGATTTAAAATGATAGTCGAGAATTATGGTTTTTTACTCTATTGGTTGCACTTTTTAATCCTTCTTTCTTTCTCATGTGCATGCTACTAAACGTGACATCTTTTTATGCTGCCATTTAAGAATTATTTAATCATGTAATAAATGACAACTTATGTATAAGATATTTCTATTATCAAACAGGGAATGAGGGTAAGCTCTTAACAATAAGATAATAAAAACAATTTATGAAAAAAACTACCTGAATGGATTTATGAAAATAATCTGAAAACATGTAATGGACATATCAAAACTATTTTTATAAGCTCCTCCAAACATTTACACAATAATATAGAAAGTTCTTTCAAACACCTCCAAATCCGACATGTGCTTTATTACCTATGTAATGGCACTAGCAGCTGAGTGTTATGAATTCTTTGTTAATATGTTATTTTGAATACATGATTTTTTTTTGAAGTGTCATTCTTCTTCCGATTGCAATCACCTTCTACATAACCTGGTGGTTCATTCATTTCGTGGATGGGTTTTTTTCTCCAATCTATGCTCAACTTGGAATCAACATCTTTGGTAAGTGGTTCTCTTTTACGGTGCTTAACTACACACCTTTACTATTTTCCCCATACAGTCAGTAGAGTATGTCTATTCAATTTTATTGAATCAAATACTTCATCAATTCTATATTCTTAATATTCATTTTACTTAGGTTTTGCTATATATAATTTTTTGTATTTGGGAGTTATTGGCTGTAGAAATTTGCAATAGGACTGCAAAATAAATGCAAACGTCTACATGGAAAAAATATGTTATTGGCTTTTCTTGTTCTGGTAGCATTACACATGTAACATTTTGAAGTAATTGCTAACACTTCTTGGTCAGGTCTTGGATTCATAACTTCCATAACCTTCATCTTCTTGGTTGGGGTTTTCATGTCATCGTGGCTGGGTGCATCTGTCCTGGGACTTGGGGAGTGGTTTATCAAGCGAATGCCTCTTGTTCGTCATATCTATAATGCCTCTAAGCAGATTAGTGCTGCTATATCACCAGGTGTGTTTGCAAAGCATGTTTTTCTTTTAACATATTACTAATATATTAATGATCTTACTCTTTATTTTGATGTTAATGTTTGGTAAAAAACTGTTTATGTTTACATGTTGCCACAGATCAAAATTCGCAAGCCTTCAAAGAAGTAGCTATCATTCAACATCCACGTGTTGGTGAATATGCATTTGGATTTATCACGTCATCTGTTGTACTTCAGGTTTCTGACAGATTTTTATATTTTGCAGTTTAAATGTTCAGTATTTTTTCTTCATAATGTCTTAAATCGATGTTTCACTGTTTTTCTATGACTGTGTCATATTGTTTGTTAGTGCTCATAGTCGAACAATGGATCATTTCTGGACCATGCAATGAAAAACAAGCCTCAACATAAGGCTTGTGTACTCTAGGAGAAACAGGAAATTAACAGGGCAGAATTAGTAATATCACCATTATATGATTGAAGCGTTGTAAAGTAATATTAATTTTGCAGTAGGGTAGGTATATCGTAGAACAATTATGTAGCAGTTATTTAATTTTATGTGGTGTAGTTATAGGTAAAATTTGTAACAGTTTCCAGTATGCATTCTGTTTTTTCTTCTGTGTAAGGCTGATAATTGGTTTCTCAAAAGAGAACCCTTGGGCCCTAAAGCTGGTATGGAAGCTCGTCAACAACTGTGATAAATAATACCCTTAGTGGTTTAGTTAGTTAGTTAGTTAGTTATTGAGGGCTGTAATAATTAGAGAAGTAATGTATGTTGCCTATACATAAGATGTGGGTGGGTAGAGAGAGATGCTAGTCATTTGTCTAAGAGTTAGGGCCTTTTGCTGTAGGGAGGTTTACCGACCTTCAAAGTATTGCAAATATCTAGTTTTGTAATTGGGATTTATCCCTATCAATTGTTATAAGAGTTCATGATCTTGGGCACCAAAATTTATGGTGCAAAAAATAAGGGAAGGATGTTTGGAAGGCTGGGAGGTGACCCTTTGTTGGATTTTATTTTCTGCAATTCTGCAACTACAGATTGTTCACCTTGAGGACGAGGTGAATGGTTTTTTTGCGGTATTGATAAGTTCGTAGGTGTTGCAATAATTTGATAAATAAGATGTGTTGCCTATGAATAAAAAAAAGGCAAAGAGGGTGAAATAACTAGTCATTTGTCACAAAATTTTGGCCTTTGGGCATAGGGAGGTTTGCAGACTCAAAGTTCTGCAGTGTACCTTAGTGTCTCTCTTATACAGTAATCCTGGTTGTTTTCTGATGGACACATGCCATTGTGTAAGAGAATTGCTTGTGCAATGATAGTATGGTGTCCTATCTATGTTTTGTTGGGGGTTTTATACAGATCCATATGGTTGTCACTTTATTACTCTTGTAGCATGTGCGTGATGCTCCTTGGTTTCCATGTAGCCTTTTATGTTCTTATTTCTCGGTTGGTTATCTCCAAAGCCATATAACATTGCAAAATACTTTAGTATTGTTTAAACGCCACTGATGAACTTAATAGTCAGTTGGCACTTTTCTAAGTCCCCATTCAAATTGCCTTCTAGATGTTAACTTGTGATCTATAGTTTGGAGTCATGGGCCTATATAGATATTATATAAGCATTTGATTTATTGTATTTGGCAAAACAGGTTTTTTTTTTTTTAAGTAATGAAATTTTTCTGCAATTGTCGCGACCATGAATAACTTGTTTATATCACTTTGTCAGAGTTATTCTGGAGATGAGGAGTTATGCTGTGTCTATGTGCCCACAAACCATCTTTATATTGGTGATATATTTCTTGTAAACACCAAGGATGTTATCCGGCCAACCTTATCCGTCCGGGAAGGAATTGGTAAGCTGTCTAGTTTCTATAGTTACTCAATCTTGGATAATTTATGGAAGGAAAATCAGGCTACTAATAACTACTTTGCACTCCATTAATGGTATGGTTTTTGTTGAGTGAACTACTTTCCGGGGCTTTCTTTTCTGATGCTAATGATGCGATAAAATTGAAGCTAAGATTTTTTTGTTCTATTGATTGAGAATTGGGGGATAATCATTGGAAAGACTTACACTTCACTTACACACTATTCATACTTCTGCAAGTCAGTACACATCAGTCAAACAGTTTGTAACATTTTATGAAGATATTCCCTCCATTCCTATTTATAAGCAACTTTTAACATTTTAGATTCATTAAGTAATTAATGTATCTAACCTATATATAGTCCAAATACATCATCCATTCAATTAATCTAAAAAGCCAAAATTTGCTTATAAAATAGAATGGAGGGAGTACAAATTCTTTGAATGCCTCAGTATGTGTAACTCATGCACTTTATGGTGCAAGCAAAAACTATTTGTGCGTGCTTGTGGACATACTAAATGGCAAAGTAACTAAACAATATAATTGAACTCATTCAAGTATATTTTAACACATGCTATGATTTGCAGAAATTGTTGTTTCTGGAGGCATGTCAATGCCACAGATTCTATCGACGCATGATTCACGCCGTCCGGTGGAAATAAGAAGACCTGATAGAAGATGAAAGCAAAAGTATAGTAGTTGTTTGTTGATTAGCTTTTGATGTTATATATATGGAGCCATCAGAATGGCAATGCAACCAATTTGTGTTGTAAATGCAGGCATTTAATTTAAGTTGTTGATTTATGAGCAAGTGTTAGATTCTGATGGTTAGTGTAACATTCATTTGTGTAATAGAATATAGAAATTAGCAATTGTTTGGAAATGTAGTTTGAAAGTACAGAACTACCACGTTCTACTGTGGCAGGAGTCCCAAAATTTCTGCGTGTGCATATTATGGTGGTTTCCTTGTTATAGCAATTCAATTTTGTAGTGCTTTATACCTTAATTTATGTTGTTTCTACTTCTATGTTGTTAACAATTCATTAGCCGGCCAACTTATTCAAATATTACCATGCTATCTTTTTTTGAGTAAAAAAATTGGGATAGATTTGAGTCTGGCGGAGGAAGCTAGTTTCTTATAACATGGCAATTGCCACCTTTACTTGGAGATAATTGGAGATGTATCTTATTGACTCCTCAATTGGTAGTTGGTAGTGGGAATGAAGAAATCAGGGTATTTATTTTGGGAATTGCATAAGACACCTAAGCATTGCTTTCGACCCTTAGTGAAAAATTAAAATTATCCTTAAAATTTGAAAATGCATCACCAAATGTATCTCACTCACATTTGATTGAGTCAGATCTTGAGATTATGTAAAAATAAAATTAGGGAAATGCATCTCCGTGTAACTTTCGAAGATGTATTCGGATATTGTTTTAATAGAAAATGTGACGGACCCTTCTTCTTTCTCATTTCTCAAAATATTTTTTCAAAACCTCTTAACTCTAAAACTATTTCAACTTAGATTGTCTTAAATTCATTCAATTCACTTCAAAGTTTCTACCATTAACATTCAATCAATTAAAGAGTTCAATGTCAAATTAAATTCATATTTGGTATGTTTTTTTTTTGTTTTTTTATATATTTTTTATTTTTATATATATTTGTATAAATTGAGCATTAAGTTATGTAATAGTTAATTTTGATATGTTATTTAAATGAGCAATGTGTTTGATAGATAGTTTAAACGATCAATGCGTTATTTTGGATGTTAGAATGGATTGCATTTGTCATTGCCGTTCACCTGAGTTGCATAATATTATGGAGATGTATCTCTGGAATTTTTCAATGTTTTGATTTCAGGATATGGAGATGCATTTTTAAATTTTATATGTCTGCATTATTTGGTTTGACTTCATTATGTTTCATGTGTATAATGCTTAAGCAGTTTACTTATAGGGTATTACGCTTGATAAGTAAGATAGATTAAGGCACGACAGAGTTGCGTAGCATGCATTGGTTTGGAGGGAAAGAGCTCAATCATTGCAAGCATCTTGTGTTTCTAGCTCGATTGATGCAAATGCGTCAACTTATGGGGATGCACCTTCATCTTTTCGTAGGAGACATGTGTCACCTGCTGAGGCACCCACGACACCACAGACATCTAAGGAACCTCAGGCATTCGAGGGGTTTGGAGGAGGTCCGTTTATCGTTCCTGCATCTATACTCTGACCATGCTGCCAAACATGTCTGGGACGGAGAGGGAAAATTGTATTGTATTCATTCTTTTGAAAAACATGTTTGCTATAATATTTGAAGTTCATGATGATGATTTATTTTTCTACAGAATCATGATGCTTTAAAATGCATCAACCATGGCTGAAAAAAATACGGGGCTGTTGTAGCCTGCTGAGCAGTGGTTTCAGGATGTGACGTAACTATTTGGGCAGACATACTTGTGAATGATTGATTATATTACAGTTAACCATGGTATGTTGTCTGCATTTGTAGAGAGATGAAACTCTGAGTTGTCATGTTTTAATCTTCCACACAGTGAAATATCCATCACACTCGACGATGTCTCATGCCTGCTGCATCTTTCAATCAGAGAGAATATTGTTAGACCACGACAAGATTATCATAGATGAGGGAATTTAGATGATGATGGACTATCTGGGAGCTAACCCAAGGGTTGTCATTCAGGAGTTAGAAGCCACATGAGGGTATCATGCTAGGTTTTAATTCCTGAAGAGGTTGTATACACGACAATTGTATACGACAGAGCAGTGATGACAAATAGGTTATGCAGCATAATAGAGCATACACTATGAGAGCATACCTGTTGTATTTGGTTGGCACGTCCATCTTTGTGAACAAAAGTGTCAATTATGTGGATGTAATCTACCCGATATACTTCACTGACTTGGAATGGATCCATGAGTACAACTAGGGGCCCACATGTTTGGTTTACTTGTATTTCAAGTTAGCTGAAGGTTGTATGTGAAAGACCAAATAGATGACACACACCATCACATTGTTGACGATAATATTTCTACATCTTTTAGCGTTTATGTCATTTTCATAACACTTTTGCTATGCCATTACTAATTATTCATACATAACAATTTTAGGCTTGAATCATCCAACACTTCCCATGCATATTTGACTGGTCATGTGCTTCGACCTACAATGAGGATATGTCGTGTGTTTCTGCATTCATCTCTCTCAGAGGGAATCGGGTGAAAGAGTCATACATAGTGTATTTTGACTGCATGGTAGGAGAGGATATACACTTTCATACGTGCATTAATTATTGTGAGACAAGTCCCTTGGACGACATGTCTTTCTACCCTTAATGGTTGACTTACATTTCACTTCTAATGTATCCTCATTTGCTTGAGTGCGCCACACATCATTTCGACTACGTGCAATTTGTTCCCAAAGACCCCTCGGATTTTTCTTATCCTGCTATATCACGAAGAAATGCATTGTCGTGTTTGATGATTATCTTAATTAATGGGTACCAGATGAGGTAAAGAGTACCATAGCTCATAACGGTTGAAGTGTTGCACACAACCATGTCTAATGGTATTTTAGGGTGTCACATCCTTATATGACACAGAATGCTCTGGGAGATCCACGTCGATCAACTCATCAGGAGATACTAGAGGAGGAGCAAGCTAGGAAAACTCATAATGTTGATGTGTTGCCTATATGTTATCGTATCATGGATATTGTCCAGGCCGGTATAAACAGATGAGTCTTTCTGAAAGGCTCTAAGGCAATGGACTTTCTAGATGCCATTATGGGGGAGACACTGTAGTCTAGGAGGCAACGTAGGAACATTGGGGCTTGAGTCTGTCATACGTAGTAATATATAGTATTGTATTAGGAATACTATTATAGTTTGTAATTTATTTTGATTTCATTGTGCACTCCAGATTTTATTCGTTTATTGTGTGTGTGTGTGTGGGTGGGTGGGTGGGTGTGTGTGTGTGTGTGTGTGTGCATGCGTGTGTGTGGGTATGCGTGTGTGTGCGTGCGTGTGCGTGCGTGCGTGTGTGTGTGTGTGCGTGTGCATGCGTGCGTGTGTGTGTGTGTGTGTGATTTTCATATTATTTGATTAGTGTATGGTTTAGTTTATATAAAACTAAATATGATAGTATAACTATAATGCGACGTCAATTAAATAAGTATATCTCTAAAGTAAATTCAAAAACTAATGTCTGGTGATAATTTATAGATGTGTCTCTAGATTCTCTCTGGTATGAATTCAGATATGCATATCTGAATTAATTTATGTCAAAATGAGGGTGTTTTAGGGAGGAATGCATGGGGAGGACTCGAAGATGCATCTTCAGAATAAGTTTTGGAAAACATACGAGGTGAGACTCAATTGAAGTGTGTTTTGATTTGTAGCATATCAAAGACTTATTTTTAGGTTTGAGTATGGACTTTTCGAATACCTGATTGGCCTTTTAGTTTACTTAAAAAGTATATATCATTTCAACATATGTAAATAAACAACTCAACTAATGTTTAAATATATTAGAAAATCAAAAGAATAATCAGGATAAAATAATTTGTCTGCATTGACTTATTTAAATTGTTATAATAGTATAAGTTTTATGAGGCTATTTGTTTAGGAGAAATTATGAAAGCAACTTATGACAATGTTCATAAGATTCTTTTCAACTGACTTTCATAAGTTCTTCAATATAAAATTCTAAATATAATATAATAATAATAAATTTATTCATATTTATTAAAATAGGCCAGTCTGATAGGCTTTGAAGTTTTTTTATGGCCTGAGTCCTGGTCAATTTAACTAAATAGGCTTATTAAAAAACTTAGGCCTTTTTATTTTAAAAAAAATGATCTGACATTGACTCATGTAGGCTAGGTCATAGGCCTTTGTTAGTTGGTCTGACCTATTCTAACTCCTACTTGTAATGTATCTCACCTATTATAGCAGGTTAATTAGTTGTTACTATGAACGCAACTAGTTGTTATCTTGTGTACTCAATGAATTCAATAAATGAAAGTTAGTTACAGCTGAAAATGAACAATGTAATTATCAACTATATCATGGATCCTCACAAGGAATCATTATCACCCTCGAGAAAATAAGAAAGGTTGGATTCTCACAAGGAGTCATTACTGCTACTTGAGGCAATTAATTATGCTAGATCCTTACAAGGAATATTTACTACCCTTGGAGGCGATGAGACGCTGCATTCTCATAAAGGAATTCTTATCTCCCTTGGAGGCGATAAAAAGTAGGATCCTAATTGAGTAAACCTTTCCGCTCTTTGAGGCGATAAAACGTTGGATCCTTATGAGGAATATATGCCGCCCCCAATGGCGATAAAACACATTGGATACTTATAAGGAATCCTTGTTTCCCTTTGAGGCAATCAAACATGTTGAATCTCTACAAGGAATCCTTATCGCCCTTGGAGGCAATACAACATGCTTAATTCTGATAAGGAGTCCTTGCCTCCCCTTATGAGGTGACTAATACACAGAATCCTCGTATAAGGATCATTATCACCCTCATGAGAATTGAGAATAAAATATGTTCTAGACCGACTAGATAAACCCCGAACTATTATAGACCGATCACATTGACCCTGACCAACCACAAAAAAGCGTCTCGTTCATTTTAGAATTTTCTAGAT